ACATGCACAGGAACACCTATCAACACACAGGGGCCGGGAAAAACCGGGTCTGGCAGGGGAAAAGCTGGAAAAATTAATGCCATACCCACACTGAAGCACACGCACCCCACAAAAAGCTCATGGCACATCTCCCAGGGCAGGCACTGTGTGTGTCAGTACGTGTTCCTGTACATGTACCTGTACATGTTCCTGTTCCTGTACCTGTTCCTGTACCTGTTCCTGTACATGTTCCTGTTCCTGTACCTGTTCCTGTTCCTGTTCCTGTTCCTGTATGTGTTCCTGTACCTGTTCCTGTATGTGTTCCTGTACCTGTTCCTGTATGTGTTCCTGTACATGTTCCTGTACCTGTTCCTGTACCTGTTCCTGTACCTGTTCCTGTACCTGTTCCTGTGTGTGCACACCGTGCTCATGTGCATGCCAGGAGCACACCTGCTGCACATCCCTGTGCTCAGCATGGATGCCACGGCCATCACTAATGCTCGTGGATGCACAGTGGCTGCACACCTGCACAACCTTGCACTTGTGTGCACAGAGGGGCACACACATGTGCACACTGCCCAGACACCTGTGCCACCTCGCCCAGCAGCACACCCATCCCACCTGCCTGCAGGGGATGTGCAGGGTTTAGCCCTGACCTGGGCATCGCCAGTGGCAGGTAAATAAAGCAGGAGGAGGGACAATCCAGCAGCTCCAAGGGGTTGGATCGTGTCCCTGGACTGACACATGCTGTGGCATACACACACATGTGAGTATTCCCGTGTGCACATGTGTGCAGGCAGATGATTTCTTCCCTGTTTCCAATGAGGCCTCTTACCACCACAGCCCCAAAACACCTCCCAGGCAGTCTGTGGGTGCCCTCCCCCTGCACCCTGCCAGCCCAGCACCACTGCCCAGCTTGGCATGACCAGCACAAAGCTGGGCAATTGTGGATGGAGTCCCACAGTCCCTTCAATGCCTTTCAGGAGCCCACTGAAAGCTATGTCCTGCAAAAAGTCAGGGCTGCGCAGCCAGAAGGTCTGGATGTGGGAGAAAGGACAGACAGGCAGAGGGATGACATTCACACTGCCTCCATCAGAGAAGTTTACTCTGCTTTGTCCTGAGCTCAGCCCCACGCCTGGAAAGAGGCATCTCTGTGAATAAGGACCGTGTGTGATGGAGAAGCCCAGCTCCCAGGTGGTTCCTGGCACTCCAGGTGCCATTTCTGCTTTCCCCAGCCCTGCTGCCTGTAGAGCCAAAGACCATGAGAACCACAGTCCCCAGGAAAAAACAAGAGATGCAGAGGGACAAAAAAAGGCAGAAAGTGGTTAATAGAAGACAGAAGGGGTGGAAGAACCAAGGTGAATGCAAAAGGGCTTCAGGCAGATGGGAGGGCTGAGCAAGGCTGACTTTGCTTGAATAGCATTAAATGGGATTGCCACTACCTTGGCTACTAGCCCACTTGCCTGGCAGGTGGCCCAGACCTCCTGCAGGATCCAGGGCACCCGGGTCCCAGGGCATCTGCCCCCAGCTCTCCTGCACCTTGGCTTATGTCTCAAGGGCTTTGCTTTGGCTGGTGGCAGAAGTGGGGGCTCCCCCATCCCCCCCACTGCCCCAGCCAGGCCTGAGCATCCCATCAATGACTGCCTCTAGGGAGGAGCAGATGGACAGTGAAGAGTTAAGCTGGGGGCTGGGCTGGGTTATCCCAAGGAGGTGAGCCTAGAAAATGGGGTAATATCCCCTCAGGGATGGCAGGCAGCCCCCAGCTTTTGCACTGCACCAATGTGCAAATATCAGAGTGGAGAAAAGGAGGTGGTTTCCCTGGCATAGCCCAGGAAACTCAGCCCAACCCTACCCTGAGTCTCTTGGAGAAGAACCAAGAGGACACAGGGTCTGGCTAGCTTGGGAAAAGCTCCCTTGATCATTGCCCAGCTCCTTTTTTAGGTCCAAAGGGCATGGAGGTGCATCCCTGTGCCATTTGCTGTCCAGAACTGCTCCACTTGGGCACCACCAGGGACACAGCTCAGTGCCACTGTCGGCCAACCCCTGAAATATGCAGCAATTGTCCTGGGAGGGTCATTGCTCTTTAACATCCCCTGAGTGCCAACCAAGCCCTGCCCCAGCACAGCTGAGCCAGAGCCATACTGGTGCCTCTGGTGCTGCTGAGTGCTCTGGGCAGCCTGGCACTGCCACCTCCCCGCACTCCTCGCCTCCCTCTCCCTCCTCTCTCACTCTGGTGGAGATTTGGTTTCCCCTCCAGTGGCCAACAGAAGCTCTAAGCAAGCAGAGCAAGGAGCAGCCCAGCCCTGCACACCTCACCAGCTTTGGAGCTTCTGGAGTGGGCACCATTTTAATAATTTTGTGGATTTTGAGAGGGCCTGTGAACCACAGCAGCCCTACCCAGCACCCTGCCAGAGGCCTTGCTCCCTTACCAGCTGCACCCACATGGGTGACAGACACTGAGTGGACCAGCCCCAAAATTCAGGGCTCCTGTGCTCCCCTGCCCTTATCCCAGGATGAATGAAATCCACATTTATTTTGTCCTTACAGCTGCTTTTGTTTCAGTGCCATACCTGCAAGACTCAGCCATCACCACCCAAGCCCACCCTCCCCGTGGTCCCACTGCTGTCAAAGTGGCAGCACAGACCATGAAGACAATCACTGGTGTTCCCTGGTAGGGGAACACCTTGGGACAGGGACAGGCAGCAAGCTGGCAGCCCCATCACCCTCCCTCCCCACCAGCCTGGTCCCCACAGAGGGAGCCTGGTGCAGGATGAGCCTGGGCAGGGTGTGAGAGGGATGCAGACCAACGTGGGAGCCAGGCACAAGCTGAGCTCCCATGAGTCCTGAGCTGTCCCATGGGGCTCCTCTGGAGAGCAGAAATGGAGGCAGAGGATAGGCAAGTGCCAGCCAAGGGAGCAGAGGGGCCCTGCTCTCCAAGAGAGGTGGGTGGTATAGGGGGCAATGCCCCAGCCCTCCAAAAGAGAAAAAGGCTTTCAAACATCCTTATGTAAGCAGGGAGCTGGCATCGCCTGGGAAACTATTGCCATGGCAATGGTAGAGGGGCTGGAAAAGCAGCTCGGCCTTCCTGAGAAGAAATTGCCTGTTTTAAAGGTTTTGTCCCCATCCCATGGCCAAGTGCCCACCAGCCACATCTGAGTGCCAGCAGCACTGGCATGCATGTGATGCCTGGCAGCATCCCCCTCTCCCCTTCTGACAAGGACAATGGTGGATGTGCAGCACAGACACTGACCAGACACTGCATGCCCACGAAAAGAGGGACAGCAACACCCCTGTGTCCACTCAGTGCCCCACAGCCTTCCCCAGGCACAGGCTGCTGTTCCAGGTCAAACCCGGGGGTGGGCAGCACCTCCCATG